GCCGGGGTACCCATCTCTTATCTACAACTCCTCCCATACCAATGGATTAAATTTAAAAAGACCTTCGAGGGGGGACAGGGCGGGCCAACCCCCAACCCCCCAACTTTTTCTGAGTATAGTATTTTGCTATAGTAAATTTTCGTTTAGATGTTGGATGCTGGTTGTTGCCGCCCCCCCCCCCCCCCCCCACACACACACACACACTCATATTGTTGCTGTAAGGTCGAGCATGGGCAAATTTCAGGATTTTGACAGTTAATAATTTTCCTTTTTTTTTTTTTTTTTTGCTTGTCAGATTTATTTTGGGAGTTGCCCACCCCCCAACTTTTGAAACCGTTGCTACGGGCCTGTTGAGCTATCCCATAGCAAAAACATGGACTTTGCCATTGTACTCATATAGGAGCGGGGGCCTGCGGGATATCATTTTGTGAGCTAAGTGCTCACAGTACCTCTATTTTTTTTTTCTTTTTACATGTATTCATGCACATTAAATTTTCAGCATAAAACTCTGTCATGAACATGTATACCAGTACTAGCTATTTCTGAAGTGCCGTATTCAATATATAATGTTGCAAGATCTTTGTCACTAAGAACAGATTTTTAACAAATTACAAGCAATTACAAATATTAAACATATCTGTATTGTATATACAGTATTGTGTATTCGATGACAATAATTCGAAACTAGTCCTTGCATTAAGCATTGCACAATAACAGCTTGGTCTCTTTTAGCACGGAATGAATTTTGCAATGACAACAGCTTTTACACAATTGCACTCTTACAAAAAAAGTGTTACGAATGTCAAGGATCCTTGAAATAGGGCCTCCAAAATTTGTACTTATTCAGTGATATTTGTTTTTCGTTTAAGTTGATCTGTATATCGCACAGATGAAACCTATGATGGATGAAGAGATATAGAATTTTTTCTCGCCATTTCCTGGACACCTCCCCACTTTTGATACATTGGTTATGTTACATTATATTGATGAAGATAAAGGATATTTTATGAAGTCAATGGTAAATCCAAAACTTTAAATAAATTTAAATTGCAGTCTTTGCACATTTCCAATTTATTTATCATTTTATAATGAAGTTGATCCAGATGATATAACGTTATATTTTTACAGACACGACTGTATAAAAAATAATTTACACCGTATTCATGTACAATTAGATTTTGCAGCTTATAGCAATAGCATAAATTTCCTTTTCAAGCTGCCTTAACTTTTTTAAAAGGGGGGGGATGAGAGTGTGAATTTTTCTTTCTAAACCCTTTTATCACTGTATCTATCTTTTTTGTTCACATTAAACGCATATGGCATTGTTTTGGTAAAAACTGTTGGATGACCTTAATTGCCCTTTACATACTTTAGATGGACCTCTAGTTTGTGGTCAAGCTTGGCTAATTCCGCCCTAAAAATAGATGTTATGGACATACCATGCATTAATATACTTTTTATATTACATTTATGAGTAGTATGGAAACAAGAAATGTTTAAATATGTTTGTATCTTGATTTTACGGACTGAGGTTATGGAGAACTTCAAGGGAAATAATCCGACATGCAAGACGACCATCGCACTCAATGGCCCTCCAACAACCCTAGATTAGTCATAAAGAGACAGGTACAAAGTTACGTGTAATCATTTGCACCTGAGTTTACGCTGCGCCTTTTATTTACCTTGGTAACCTACATGTACCTGTACAAATTATGCTACAACTGTAGAACATGCTGAAAATATGAAACTAATTAAAAGGCTAGTACATATGTAATTGTTTAATGATAAAACGTGAATGAATATGAATCTTTAATAGAAATACATAAGGCAGTTATATATTGCTCTGTTCGGTGAAAAACATCGAATGACCACAATAATTTTTTTTTCATCAGAGAGAGTAATTTGTAGAATCAGAAATTGATATACTTATTAAGGTATTATTTTCCATAAAAATTTCGAGTGTTCTGTATTTTGCAATTAGATAGGAAATTCGTTTAAATCTGATTAATTCTTTTTTTGGGAACAGACGCTTTCAAATTTTAAAATAATTTAGAAGTGGGCCATAAAACTTAATTTGACCAAAACAACAACAACAACAAAAAAAAAAAACCTCTTTGACAGGTAGCGTATACCACACGAGTAGACATAATAAGAACTAGCATAAAAATTTATGATTCCGTATATATTCATATTTGTCCTACATTATGTTAATTGATATCATATGTCCAGGTGTCGCCTAAAAATGTCAAGTTCGCCGGTGGCCATGATAGGACGTGACGTCACACACTTGTGACGCGACTGTCTGAACTTTGACCTTAAGGTAAGCCATAAAAGGTCGAATTCCGGAATGAAGATGGTAATCACATCGCCGGAGGTGGACTTTAACACTAAGAAATGAATTGTTGAAATAATTTATTTGTAGGTTTGAGCAATTTATTAATGACTTTTATTTTCCACTTCCGTTTTAATAATTTACTCCGATCCATAAAATTATCAGACAAAATTGCATTAATTCATAGTGTTTTGAGTATTCGATTCGAGGGGGGGGGGGGGCTCCATAAAAGAGAATGACAACAGTTCGTGTATATTAAGGTAAAAAAAAAATTGAAAAAAAGAAAGAAATGTTGCTAGATGTGAGCTAAAGTAGACGCATGCAAACGAAGCACATACAGTTTGTGTCATATATACGTATAGTTACTGTAACATTCTTGCAAGGATAATGGGGTCAAGAATACTTTACAAAAATGTTGTCTTAATGAAGTAGAGCCTTGATTTAAATATATGTGCAATGCAGTACTAAGCACTCTTTTCTTCTGTTTTCATAGCTGAAGGTTAAAGCATCGCATTTAGTAGTTACTAGTAGAATCTTTTTCGCCGAAAATTAAATGTTTTATCACAAGACGAATAATAATGTACGTGAATAAGGTTACAACATGCATGTATTAACAATTCCAAGTTTCTAAATATACTTTACAAAGAGATAGAATTGCTATATCTAATAAAGTGGTTTTGCCTGAAACAATTATCATTAAAAATCTCGGCAATAGATAAATCTCGTGACATTTGTGTTGTTGTGTTATCTGATGGGTGTCCAACAGTCGATTTCTCTGTATTATAGGTAAAATGAACAAGGGCGGGTGTTATCACGAAGTCCAAATATTTCTATTGATAGCGAACGATAACTGGTGACCAAGTGCATCTTAGACTTAGACCGATCTATGTAGAGCTACTTTAATTTAATTATCAGTTAAACTGAAGAAAATGGGGAGAGGGAGTCGTGTATATGAGGGTTGGGGTACTACTTTCAATGTTTGATGAATTCAAAGCATTTCCTTGCATGCGCATGATCGAAGCTTAAAATGGCTCTTTTCAAATAAAATAGGGGGAGGAGGGCTTATTAAAAGAATGTACAATGGCATGATGCCACTTTTTTTCTTACATAATTTAATACCAAAGAGATCTTGACTAATTGAAAGTTAAGGAAGAAATGGAATCTATAAGTATTACTAATACCTTTGTACGTTGTAATATGTATTATTTGCACACTAGGAAGCTTATTGGGTAACCAGTCTTGTATTACTATAGTCAATTCGTTATCTTGCTGATATCATATGTATGTACGTGTAAATATGGTGAACTCATTATCTTTATAAATCTTACATGTAGTACTTTGTAGTGATTTAATATCAAATTATACCAGCCACGGGTGCTTGTGGACAGGACCCTCCTCCCCCTCAATATTCACCACGGGTCCAGTGAGGTTTTTGTTTGTGTTCTTTTATAAATTATTCTTCTAGCACACATCTACCAACAATTCCATATAGAAATTCCGAAACATAACATAGAACAAACGTTTTATTAAAACTAGATAATATTAATTTATTTTATTAAATGATCAGGAATTTTGATGTTCTCTGATTGGTTTAGACTTTCTTTTCTGAGGTGCATTTATCTCAGAGTGAGTTCACCTCAAAATGGAGTTCAGGAAGTTTATACGGCTTTTCCCTGTTAACCAACCATAGATTTGCTTTCAATTCTATCAGCCAATCAAATTGCGCGTTTTAAAGCATGTGTCGATGCTAAAAGAAATAATGCAGACGCCAGTACCGAAGAGTCTAAGCTTCTTTATTTAGTAAATGGTTGAATATTATTATCTTATAATTTTACTTTCCACCTTCTTAAAGAGTTAATGAACTGCAGAAATATAATTATGATATATGTTGCTTCACAAAATAAAGTTGAATCCACACTTTTAAAAAGTTATGTTCCTTGGCCGCCATCTTTGTGGAATAAACCCTAGAATTCTCACACAGGTCATGTACCAAAAAATTCCAGGCAGAAGAATACTGGGAGTTGAATTAGGAATGTGCTATATTTTTAAGTTGAAAATTTTAAATATAAAAAATCATCTGAAACACGCATACGTCTTATTGAATGAAGAGAAATTTAAACATAACACAAAATCGACTGTTTCCTCTTGATATACAGACGTAAATGCGGCTTTCTTGGTACAGCTGTAACTAACCATTATACATTTCTGACGATCCTTGTAGGATTTACATGTCTATAGTCTTAATTAAGGTCTACTTAATGCAATTTTAAGGGCATGTCACTAATATATAATTTAGCCTGATTCTTTATATATATGCACTTCTCGACCTTTGTATGCATCTCATTCATAATAGATATGAATGCAAGGTTGCATTTTTCCGGGAAGGGGGGTATCAATTTTCATTTGAAAAACATTTATTTTATATACCTAATGTATCTAAAACCCTTCTCAAAAGATCATAACATGTGTAACTCTCACTTTTTACAATTTAGCTGTGTTTATCACTGGACTTCCCTGTTTTATCTGACCGTGATTCGAACCCGGAATCTTTATTGTAAAACTTGTGCGCTATTTACTAGTATTACATGTAGCATTTGTATATGTTCTTACTTGGCCAACACTGCATTAATACCACAATCAAATATTCAAATAAAAAAAGAGACACATCTTTAAAATCAAGTAAGAATTCATTTGTGTAAAGACTAAGTAAACATTCACATAGAATGGAATTAAACATTGTAACAATCACACAAGTTTAAACATTCTAGCACCACTATAATTAAGTACAGCGAAACATCATTCAGGGGTTAACATGGAATAATCCTGACCTTAACTTTATAATGCATATAAACAAACAATTACAATAAACATGGAATGTTTAATAAATCAAATTAAGATCATTTTTTGTTTCCTGCGGTCAACGCAGACGAAAATTTTTATTGTCATTATTCGAAGTTATGCAAATCACATGGTGAAATAATGGAAAAACCAAATTAGTAAGAGTCGTGGCATACAGCAAAAATCGGATGCCAAATTCCAAAATCCAAAACAACAAATCCTGTTTTGTTAAATATATACGAATATAGGGAAATTCCATTACCGTAAGTTTTTTAAAAAATGTTAAAACGTGAAAACTTGTTATACCTGTTGTAAACAAATACTAGAAAGCCCGGTAACATTAAAGTCAGGTGAGGTGAAATAGGATATCAGAGTATTTGTACAGGGAACATTTACTAACTACTGTTTAAGTCTGACAAATATTTGTAGAACGAAAACTATAACAAGGAAGGTTTAAATAATGGTGGGTTTAGAGCATCTAAAAAAAAATTACACCCATCGACACGTCATTGATCCACCACTGTGTTGTTAAACTGAAGAGCATGATGTGGACAAATATTAAGAGGACTTTGACTCTTCAAGGATTATGTTTACATTTTAAGGGGGTCTACATGAATCGACGGAAACCAGCCCGCCGTATAATGATGCAATATGATTCAGTCATCGAGCTCTCTCACTCTTTCTCTCGTCCATGAACATTTACTCACTGCACTATCCTACATTACTTATAAGTGAATTTTGCAACAGCTCCCGGCATGTGTTTAACAAAAAAAAATGAATATGCATGAATTCGCACTTGCAAGCACTCAAAATGTCTTACATAGCACATTAACATGATACGTGATGCATTGGATTAAATATGTGGAAAATTACGAAATAGGACTGAACTCATTCAAACATAAAATATATAACTTTCTCACGCATAAAAGGGAATTTTATTATAGACTAGGGGACTGTTTTTTTTTGCACCGTGTGTAAATTAACTTGTAAAGATAATAGATGGATATACAGCTTTGTTGTTTCGGAATAATCAACATACTTGAATCTTTCAAATATATGGAATGTTCCCCGAGGCTAAACGCTTAAGCGCCTAGAAAACAAACGGCTATACACTATCACAGTGTCTGCTTTTAGAGCTGTTTTTAATACACAATAAAACGTAAATTACTCTAGACCTTTACCCTTGTTAATGAAAGCGAATGAGTGCATTAAATGAAAATGGAATGAAATGTGTACAACCTTTCAATTTCTTACTGGATCCAATTACGAACAGAATTGCGACAGGAACAAAAAACATAAAAATCAGAAGAAAAAAAACATTTGGATCCAAACCAATGCTATACTCGTGTAATCACTGTATCGTTTTTTTTTCTTCTGTAAGCATGCATAATATGATGGTCGGAGACAGATTCATACATGAAGTCCTATTGATTAATTGTATAAGAGGATAGCTCTAAACTCCGGCTTCTAAATATCTCTACTAGTTCCCCATCGATCAAACTTGGTCACGCCATACAGGTCTTTACAATTTTTTCAAGAATATTTACTTCATACATATTTCAGAAGATCGAAGTCCTTTAAGACTGACGATGATGAATTTTCGTTCCCCAAAAGCAAGAAATGTAATATTCATGAGTGTTTTGGGTGATGAACCACTTACTAACACATACTCCCTGGATTTCATTTTCTGGCAAAATTTCTCAGCCTCCAAATGATAGCACCATATCCTATTCGAACACACGTTATATAAATGTAACTATATATAAATTTTTGGCAGGATGTCGGATTTCTTGGCCACCTAATATTACCTTTTTCTATGAACTTTAAGATGTTTCGATAGATGGTCGGATCTAGAGAATCGTTTTTCACAAATCTTACACTGATACGGTTTTATGCCTGAATGAGATCGTTTATGCCGGGCAAGTTCATCCGAGCGTGAAAACCTCCATCCGCATCCGGGCCATGTGCAAGAGAACGGTTTTTCACCCGTATGTCGCCGCAAATGTGCTTTCAGGTGCGAGCTTTTGCTGTACACCTTGTTGCATCCGTTGTAAGTACAGTGGTAAATTTTCTCGTCCACTTTAGGATCTTTGGCTGGGGTGGAAGTGGTTGGTCTTGGAATCGTTGCCTTGGAAACAGCTCCGGCTGAGGCAATTGTATTCAAAAGACTCTTATGCGAAAGTAATGAGTTTGCAGACGAATGAGACAGTGGTTGCCTAGTGATGCTAACGTGGTGCCCTCGTGAGTAAGCTACAAACTGAGTATTTTTGGGTAAATCTATTTTATATTCACTGACATTGTTTTCGTTGCTCGGCTTTGCACAATAGTTATGCATTAGACTTTGCAGTCCCACGCCTAACACCACAAATTCACTGTCAGTAGAATCAGAGTTTGAGGACTCCTCCTCAAATACTTCATCCCTAGTAGAACGACCAGCAAACGAAGAAGCAGGAGACGATGAATGGTCTATACTAAACAGCTGATTGCAGTACGAATCACAGAAAGACGAAATTTTAGCGCTACAGTTATTAACAATCTCGGGACTTACCGGGTCAGGTTTCTCAATGCTGTCCGCAAGTCCTTGAGAAAATAAGTATTCCAAATAGACTTCGTCGTCCATACTATCCAAGCTCCAGACGGACGAAGACGGACTACTACTGCGGTATCCGTTATATCCGGGGTCCGTTTCCTCGCCGGATGAGTTGAGTCTCTGTAGAGTGTACTGCTCTCTCTCCAAGCTCGAGCACAGCGGAAGAAAGTCTTCCATGGCTACGAATATATTACAACACACCGGATCAATGCTCTATTCCTCCTTCTGTCTATCTCGCGGTGAAGTACATGTAGTTCGATGTCAGTTCGCGAGCATTGGGTGATTCTATTAATTTTATTTTCACGCCACCAATCAATGTTTTAGTATTCTTCTGTCTATATATCGTCTGCTAACAAGTAGGTATTTTTTCCTCCACGTGGTGTGCAGTATAAATAATATTGTCGTTTGCTTGAATAATGATGTATATACCTGTTAGGCCCGGTAACGTGTCAGTCGTGGAAAAAAATTGAATGACACTAGGTAGACTGCCGGTTTGTAAGTGTATAAGAGCTAACTAAACGTACAACGTCTTATGAATGAAAGAAAAATAATTGTCTTATCACTGCTTATTACACGAATCCTAAGTGCTATATGTGCACGGCCTATTAATATCAGCGCCGATTGGTGGATAGAGTAATTAGTCCCCCCATCACGAGATTCAAGTGAGATTACGGAGGGACCCTCTCCAGTTTATATTCCCCTTATTAACATATCTTACCATCCCCGAACTTACACTGAGTCAAAAATACGATTGGACCTGTTTGGTGAAAATCCAGGTCAACATTCATGGATGCAGTTATCGTATACCACAATATAAACAAATTTTGATAATGGTCACCGGCCTGCGATATCACCCTCTACATCAAGGGGGGACATATATTATCTTAACTTGCATATCTATATATTATCCTATCCATGTACCCCCCTTTTCTGCGAGATTCCCATAACGCAGCACAAGACAAGCCTTGCAAATTCGAGTACAGAGTTGGAGTTGTATTGATCAAGTATCGAACATGGTTCTTTCTCTATCTCGGTCTTTTCATAATTCATCAATGTTAAACGCGTACGTACTATATCAAAGATTTTCTTATTCATGTTATTAGAGACATTGAAACATCGAAATACGAACTTAATAGATAATTATTATGCTAAAACGTAATTGCATTAATTACCGATTCGTTTAATATATTGGGACATATATCAAATGGGTTATATAATAAATTATGAAGATGCCAATTTTTTGCAAAGTATGGAATGTATGTGTAACTCATTGTTTCTTTCCAATGCTTACCTGCTAAATTAAGACCTACCTTTGAGGGAGGAAAAAGCAGTCTGTACCGGTTCAGGTATTTTTTATTTGTTAGTTTTATACCGCTTTATAAAACTAATTTAAAACTCATTTTAGAACGCTTTGAAGTCCCAGGTGTACATTCAAAAATCAATGAAAAGGTTTCCATCCGAATTTCTTTTTGTAAAGTGTAATAGAATGCCTTTTAATTTTGTATGATGAAAAATACTGAAATGTGATGGATGCTTATAGCTTTGCAATAATGATTGAAATTAAGGTTGCAATTGTACAATTAACCCACCAGATCTATAAAAATGATTGGACGTGTATTGAGACGGATCGTCAGCAATCTAAATGCATGGTTGCGATAAACTGTTGAGTAAGCAATTCAACAATATGATGATATTTACTTTGGATTAGATCGCTCTAAAACAATCTGCTATTGATAGGACTAAACGGAGCATCTTTCATTTGAATTTATTCCTTAGTAAGCCGATATAGATTTGAAACAAGTGGCTGAAAGATTTCATCCGACTTTCCTACATATTAAACATTCAACCATGGAACCTTTAATCAAAGTACTGAAATTGGAAATCAGATCATGGTGAAATCATTGTACTTTAAAATTTGTTGAATTTGATTTCGTACGACAGTTCAGGGTTATTTGGTTCTCATTTTGTTCCTTTGGATTCAATAACTTGTTCTAACAAAACAAATTAAGCTTGGCGAAAATTGCCTAATTGTAATTAATATATCTGATTCATCGATACTTTTAAAAAAAATTGTATCATTGAAAGCTTTGAATTTACAAGGGGAGGTAAATGCAAAATTTACACCATGATAATTGTTTCACTATTCCGACATTTCACTTTAATTTGAAAATGTGCATACATTATTTCAATTTTTCCACTTTATCAGCAATTAAATTTCAAGTATTATGCTTTAAATTTTATGACATCTTTTCTCCTCATAAAATGCTAATCCATTGTCGACAACATGTAATGAGTCGTACCATGACAGACAAACTCATATTGAGATTAATTGAATGTTTAATCCTGCAACGGAATTATATACATGTCCAAAATTTGATGGAGATTTATTTCATACCCACCCTCCTTGGGCATTGTCATAGTTAAGGTCAATGGTTCTGGCATTGCAAAACACCCTAACTTGTTATGAATCAATTTTCTGTACACAGGTCCTTGTCAAAATATGTCATCATTATTTGTTGTGGTTTCTGGTTGGGGATATCGCCAGTTTTAGCACAGATCAGTTGATAAGAAAAACAACGATCAAAGCTAAGTACCGCTTCCGACTTAATCTGAAGGGGGCGCTTGAAAACTTCCGTTTACGACTCTTTTTACAAGAGAGGTATAAATAGTGTCTAGAGCAACGACGAGAGTTGAGCAATGAGTCCCCATACTGCTAAACGCTTTTCGATCCAATTAGTCTACTTTCATTCATGCATTATTAGCAAACCGTCAAAAGTGGACAACAAAAGTACGCAATTTCAGGTCATGTATTTGTTTGTGAGACCAGTATATTTTTAATCATGTGATGGTTTACGACACTGATGTCGGTGGTTTCCCAATCTCATTTAGCAAAACTATGGACCGTCTCGTACTTACAGTATGACGACAGTTTGTGGCTTGTGTCACAGAACAGCGTGTAGATTGCACATGATCACATGGTAAAATTAATGAGGTGCATTCTTCAAGAGTTGTAGTTTTTTTTTTTTAATTGTTCTCCGCATTTCGACCATTGTTTGATACATAAACTGCATGAGTGTCATTTCCAAATACACATCAAACCACGAATTATGAGTAATAATGGGAGGGGATTCCACAACGAATTTTTCTGAAGTGTATTTTGTTTCACAGTTTGAGGAACAGGACAGAGGAATGCCTTCAGCAATACTGTTAAGATATGCGTGGGCTTCAATTTTATCACGCCTCATCTTGACAAAAGATTTTTGATATCTGCTTTAGATATGTCGTATTAGAATTAAGAGTTACAGCTAAGTTTTTTCTGTTAGACCTCAGATTTGATATCCCTTGGCTATATATGTTGTCATGATGAGTATCTTTAATTGTTTGTGTTTGACAACAAATATATCTGTGTTTCTATTTAATTAATATATTGTAAATTTGTTCACGCTGTCTGTTTTAAACCAATCTGTGAATGATACAGCAGTATTCATTCAATGCAAATAAATTTGATAGATTGTAAAAAGAAAACGTAAATTATCAGCCAGGGCCAGAATAATGATTTATAAATATTTTTGTTATTGAATAAGGAAAAAAAATGTATTGGTTTTCTTTATACTAGAACCAATTCATCTAAAGTTATACACATTATAAACTGAAAGGCGTTGAAGCTTGGGGAATGCGTGTTTAATTGTTTCGAACGGAGTGGCGTAATTGACGTTTCTGGCCGTTGAAAGTTGAATTGCACAAAGAAGACCTGATGAAACAAAATCGAACGTTCAGGGAATAAAACTGGCACTCAGCATATTTATAACTAACTAAAAATTTCGCTGCGTACAATGTATAAGATATTTTATTCACAGTTTTTAAAGTTTGGAGCATATGGTAAAGAGAATATACACAAAAGTCATAGAAGACGATGTTTTGTTGAATTAAGAATCATATTATTTTTTCAAGCAAGTAGTTACGAAAGGCTACAATTTTGTCAGATTTTTCATGCTTCCGATGTTTGGTTAAGTAAAATCTAAATCAGCAAATCAGAAACGTCAATTAATTACGCCATTCGAAACAAACAACCTTAATACATGTAATAATGTTGCAAGATTATAACATTTTCAAGCGAAATACTAGTACTATAATTTATCTGTACATTATTTTGACTTAATTTAAAATAAAACACATATTTTAAAATTATCCTTCAATGTAACAATTGTACGTTTAAAATTAATTTGTCATTTTTTCCTCGCAATATTCGTTTGGAGCGTAGCGGAGACATCCGAGGATTGTCAACCGACGACATCCAAGCATAAGAATTCGATGCTTAAATGACAGCGACTAGTAACTGGAAAAAAAAAAAATAAATGAAAGGCCAAAGAAAATGTAATGAACAGAAAATTCAATATTTAGTATCTGGATATGGAATTAATTTATTTCACTCGCGAAATAAATTCATTTTCCAACTGAAAAACATTGAATGCCCTCTACTTACATGCATTATTAATAGAAATGTGATACCATCGTCGGAACCCACGGGTTGAACATAGTGTAACGGAGAGATGTTCGTTACACTACATTTATCCCGGGTTTTCTCTCCGTTACACTGTGTTCAACCCGTGGGTTCCGACGATGATATGGTATATGTACAAGTTCAGTATGAAATTGACGAAGAGTTCATTAATTCAAAGAATCAGGGCTTATTTAATTTGTTAAAAACTGCTCCAACAGATGTTATATAAACTCCTTGTTTTTCGACGCTGTCTTATGATTTTTCAATACCAGAGTTAAAATTGTGAGCATTATCAATCTTCTGATCCGTCTTTCCTCCTTTGAATGACCTAATAAAAAATATGCGTAGCACTTTTTTCTCTTAAATGTATTAGTTTTTGCATCCAAAGTCTGATCTTTACATTAGAATTTATGTGTATACTAAACATATCCAAAAAAGCAAATTAATAAATTATTGATTAAAATTATTCTAAACGTTTTACAGAGAAACACTGATAATGAATACATGCATACAAGCATAAACGGGAACCTGACTGGAATATTTAGAGACACACCCACAGACACAGACGGGTAATCACTGCTAGGGGATGGTGGGGAATATCCCCTATCCTGCTGTTCTCTCTCTCTCTCTCTCTTTAATTTTTAAAGTAATCTTCGAGATGTCACACCACAGAAGTTTGAAAAATAAACATTATGTTAATTGGGGCATACTTTACAGTGCCCTCTCTGCAATCTAACCCCTCCCTTGCACTTTCACGGCAATGTAACCTTTATAATTTTTTTTAACTCAATTTATCAACAGGTGAAAAAAGAGATGGCAAAGATATTTTTCTTGCAATTAATGCTGTATATATTCTTAAGTCAATACAAATTTCATGCACCAGTCTTTGATAGGTACTGATACAGCGAGTTGCAAAATCTGATATTGGTATTTTATTTGTCTGTAAGACACGTATATATTATACATTGATGTACATGGTAGGTCCGATGGAAAAAAAAAACTGCAGCAACAGCATAGGGCTCAAATATAGCTAAAAATGTGTTACTGTTTTTCCATTCACTAGCCGGAAAACAGTAAATGTAAACACTTGCATGTAAAAATACATGAAGAGTTAAAATCTGGTCTTTCTTTTAAGATATTTGTATAAT